ACACCGAGAAGGAAGACCCAAGTCAACCCATTTGAGTTGCCTGGCTCAACGTGGGCATCCTTCACCATGAATCTCAACCACCTTTCTCCTAGAAGGAAGACCCAAGTCAACCCATTTGAGCTGCCTGGCTCAACGTGGGCATCCTTCACCACGTATCTCAACCACCTTTCACCTAGAAGGAAGACCCAAGTCAACCCATTTGAGTTGCCTGGCTCAACGTGAGCATCCTTCACCACGTATCTCAACCACCTTTCACCGAGAAGGAAGACCCAAGTCAACCCATTTGAGTTGCCTGGCTCAACATGGGCATCCTTCACCATGTATCTCAACCACCTTTCACCGAGAAGGAAGACCCAAGTCAACCCATTTGAGTTGCCTGGCTCAATGTGGGCATCCTTCACCATGAATCTCAACCACCTTTCCAAAGAGTAGATGGGGGCGGGGTGTATTTGCTCCTCCTCACCTCAGCCATGTTAAGAAGCCCTTCGTTTAAAGACATCCGAATTCCCATCTTTCCATGGAAGAACCCTTCTGGGTTGAGGAGTGTGGACTTTTTCTTCAGTGCTGGGCAAACCGGGGTCCCCTCAGAAAGGTTGGCATGGAGCCCTATTGGAATGCAGTGTCTACAGAGAGAGAGAGGGAGGGGAAAACATTTGAAAAACCCTCAAAAAGGAAGTATTAATATACACCGTATTTTTCGGACGATAAGACGCTCCCAAGTATAAGACGCACCTACGTAGTTTTGGGGAGGAAACCAAGGGGAAAAAAATCTGCTTCTGCCTCCCAGCAATTTGCCTCCTTGCAGCAAACAGCAAACAGTACAAATGATATACACTGTTTATGGTGTTACATTTCAGACTATACTTGTACAGATGTTGTTAAAATTGAGGTGTCTTTCTGGAAGTATACGTTATTCTCTGCTATTTAAAAGAAGATACAATAGCACTGGGCCTCTTCAAGATCAAGCATTTATTTTAAAAAGCGTCTTCATTTTGTTAAGCTGCCTAGAACAATAATAAAGCCATCTTTAAAAAAAAATAAGTCTAATAATTTGAACATTCTATAGGCATTTATAGTAATCAAGGAGAAGCAAACAGCCTGATTAGCACAAGAAAAAAAATCTTCCTCTGCCTCCCAGCAATTTGCCTCCTTGCAGCAAACAGCAAGTTTCACTTTCAATCCGATCATCAGCTGTTTCAGGCTGCCGGGATTACTATAGCCTATTGCAGCCTCCGCAAGCCCCATTATCCCCGTTTTCTGCAAGGAGGTAAATTGCTGGGAGGCAGAGGCCAAAGGGTGGGGGCCGGTGGGTGGGCAGGGCTACATTCGGTGTATAAGACACACCCAAATTTTCACCCTCTTTTAGTGGGGAAAAAGGTGCATCTTATACTCTGAAAAATACAGTAAGTATATGTTCAAGAATGAGATACTGTATATATATAGAGAGAAAAATAGGACATGATAATGAACAAATGGGAATAGGAAAGGATAAGCATAAACTTAGAAGTGGGTCACATGATCAAAATTGGAGCACTTGGCAGCCAGTGCATAAATCTGACTATTCCAGCATCCCACCCACCTTCTGACAAACAAAGCCAATTGGGGGGGGGGGAGGACCAGATTTGCTTAACGACCGTGTTACTAATTTCACAAGGGCAGGGATTCCCTTAACAAATACGGCAAGAAAATTTGGTAAAATCCACTTAACGAATTTCTCACTGAGCAATATAAATCCTGGGCTCATTTGTGGTCGTAAGTTGTATACCCCGCCGATAAATTACAACGTATGTAGGCCAGGGGTCGGCAATCTTAAACACTCAAAAAGAGCCACAACGGTCTTAACTGGAAGCCCACCGTTCAGTTCTGTAACCGACCGGAAGTCCAGTTCCCCTATCATAGTGTCTCTTCCTAGCACAGCATCCTTTTTCCTCTGCTGACTGGAAGTCGGGTTCCCCCACCATAGAGTCTCCTCCTAGCATGGCATCCTTTTTCCTCTGCTGACCAGAAGTCTAGATCCCCCACCATAGAGACTCCTAGCATGGCATCCTTTTTCCTCTGCTGACCGGAAGTCCGGATCCCCCACCATAGAGGCTCCTCCTAGTATGACATCCTTTTCCCTATGCTGACCAGAAGTCCGGTTCTCCCACCATAGAGTCTCCTCCTAGCATGGCATCCTTTTTCCTCTGCTGACCTGAAGTCCGGTTCCCCCCACCATAGAGTCTCCTCCTAGCACAGCATCCTTTTTCCTCTACCTGTCCCAACCGAAAGCCCTATCAATTGTGGAGCCAACAGGGAGCCGCAGCAGAGGGTTGAAAGAGCCACATGCAGCTCCAGAGCCACAGGTTGCAGACCGGTGCTAGGGAAAAGCGATTTGTATGAAAGCCAATGCCAGCAAAAGGATTGACAGCTGTGCGATTTCACACTGTTGTGTATGTAGTAATGAGTCCCACAAGGAAACATATATGAGAGTATATGTGGAATAAATTAGAGACAAGGGAAGAAGAGAAATCTCAGGCTGAATCAGGAAGAATCTCACAGGTTTGTTAAAGA